AAAAAGTTTTTTGATTGAAAACAGCAGCACTGAAGAGAGATGAAGGGAGAACGACGGGGAAAAGTGTGCTACGTGAATGCTAGGTTCACACCGTTATCTGTAGTGTTGTTTTTCATCCGTAAATTAATTTATGAAATGTTTTTATTATTTTTTTTAGACTTCGAAGATCATCTGTTGTGTGATAGAAGAAATATTTGAAAATCTGCATAAAGGAGAAAAATAAGGAGAGAAGTAGAGAGAGAGAGAGAATGTGAGTATGGAAATGCTGAACACAAAAAATCAGATGGATGCAAAAGCAATGCATCCTGACTTGTGTTTTTGGCTGTTGTCACTTGACGCAAGTGTGAAGACCTTTTGATAATATAATTTTCACCTCGCCAAATAAGGTAATTTCTGATTTACTCTAATGAAAACTCAAATATTTCATCTAGCAAACTAATAGAAAAATTCGATTGTTTTATTTATTTCCTTTCTTGCATTTCTACTTTATGCACATGCGTTCTCTCTCTCTCTCTCTCTCTCTCTCTCTCTTGTACAACACACACACTTTGATAAACATTTGTTTTGAAATTTTTTTTCTCCTTTGAAAAATAGAAAAAAAAAACATTTTTTTCCGAATGAAAAACGAGAAAAATGAAAATTAGATTTTCATCCATGTAAAGCATGCTAAGCTTCATCCTCACCACCACCATCACCACCCACATCCACCTCTAACCTGTGCTTCTATTCAACCACCCACATTTCTCACTTCTCAATTGTATTTTGATTTCTTTTCTTTTCATCTTTGAAGTTTCACTATTTCGATTTCTTTCACTCTTTTCCCCTTTAATAATGCGGCAAAGTGTGAAAATGAAATTTGCATAACCACGTCATAAGCAGTCCACGTGAATATACGTGTAAGCTCACTTTATAGCTGCAAGAGACAATGAACCGGTTGCATTCATTCATATCTATCTTGCTTTGAATATAACATTCAGTTCACAAAACCGTTTGGCAAAGACAAACTTCCTCTTTCGGATATCATCAACTCATATGCATATATGTGTGTATGTGGATGTTTTCATTTTCATTTTTTTTTGTTTCAATAAGGCTCGGATGTCTCTATACGCGTTCTTTTCTATTATCAGAAGAGGAAAAGATTTGAATTTCTTTTTTCTCTTCTCATTCACTCTCTTTATATGTTCAACACCGTCTATCTCCTTGTCTCTTTCTCTCTTCCTTTCTATGATGCTCTCTTCATCTCTCATTCTATTGAACCCCATATTTTGGCGAAGAAATAGTCATGAGCACTCAGGAATATGATGACCCTTTAAGCTAAAATTTTAATCCTAAAAGACCATGTCGTCATCCACTCAATCCCATCTATGTAAACGATCGTTTCATTTGAAGTTTCACATAATGTTCTATCAAATGTGGCTGTACGTATGTATTTGATGAAATAACCTACAAACATACAATTGTAACTTTTCGTTCATGTTTATGAACTTATTATGTTAGATGTAGGTACATGTAGCACTTACATATCACTAAACTAAGCCACAAAGCCTCATTTCATTCAAATCGACAGTTTGTATATATGTTTTGACGGAATTCTTGCCGACAACGTTCAGAATGTCGCCGACCACTTATTGCTCGAAAATCTTCCAAACCGGAGATTCAGAGTTCAACGACTTGCTCATTGCTTTTCACTATTTATCGTGAATTTTGTTAGTTTTTCAAGTTTTTTTTTGCTTCTTCCCTCACACTCATACTCTCTACTCTTGCTCACCCTTTGAACCTTTAGCCTGATTGTCGTTTTTCATCGTTTTTTGTTGGTTCTTAAACGATGCTTAACACATTGAATTACACTGTAATTGTGTACAGGAAATGTTTGTGTTTAGTGGGATTTTGGTGGTTCTGTCTCTCGTCTGTGTGGGTATGTGCATGTGTGTGTGTGTGTGTGTGTTCTCCTCCTCCTTTCATTTCTATTCGAACACAGAAATTGGTTTGCAAATGAAATATTATTTACATCTTATAAGTATTATAGGTATTGTCATTTACATAAGTTTTCGACTTTTACAATATAAAAAAAAAGATTTTTTTGACATTGCTAGTACTCTCACTCATTCTCACCATCCTCTCTCTCATGTGTTTTCATCTTTCTTTCATTTCATTCTCTTCTTATTATATATTTCTCGTTGTCTATACCTCTTATCTTTCTATCCTTAACAGGACTTCTTGTTGTTGTAGAGCTTAAACTCTCTCAAGTTCACGTAAAATTGTAGGACATTCATTCTGATTTTCAAGCTTTTTTCTAAGACAAAGCCCACAACTCCCTTTTACCTTCGCACTCTCTCTCTCTCTCTCCCTCTAACATCGATATTTCTAGCTTAGAACAGAAAACGTATCTTAATACTTTAGAAAACTTCAAAAAAATTGAAGAAAATATATATTGTAATAATAGTTTTCGTTTTTTTTTTGTCAGTTGAAATGGGGCAAGTCTTCGTGGATCGGAAAGTATAAAGCCCCTTTCGCTATTCTCATGTAATCTGAGCAAGCAGCTATAATTAAGGTTGCCGAGTATGCTTGTCCCTTCCTTTTTTCTCCTCTATTCATTCTTGAAAACTTGCCAAATATGGCAGTCGAAATTTATTTTTTTTTTCTCTCTCTCTCTTACTTACTCTCTCTCTCTCTCTCTATCTTTCTCTCTGTCTTTATGTTGAACAAGAAAAAAAAGAAAGAAAAAGAAACAAATACATGGAAAGGATAAAGTATAAGTGGAAAAGATTTTTCCATTTCTTAATCTCTTTTTTTCTTTCATTTTCATTTCTCTTCGGAGTGAGAATGTAGAAATGGTATTGAAGACAACATTCAGCTATCTTATATGAGAAGAGAGAAGTATTGCTTTCTTATCAAAGAAAAATAGTTCACATTTGGGATAGTCGCTGATTGGTGTGCGTGTGTGTGCCTGTGAGCATGTGTGTGCAAGTGTATGCGTGTATGCACAGTTAGCAAAATACCTCCATGAGATCCTGATTTCTGGTATAGTTCTGCTCAGTCGCCCACGCTCTGCTTGTATCGTAACTGCTTTCCATTACAATTTTTACAAAATGAATGCGAAAAAGTTTTTTTCTACGAAAATGAACAGCAACAACTGCTTCACTGGAGTTTCCTCATGAGTTCCATGTGTAGAAAGTGAGAAAAAAAATTATTTTTTTCTTGTTCGTCTTCCTACAGCGTTTTCTATTTCCCAGAGAGATCAGCTCTATTCCTTCTTTCTTGTAGTTCAAGCGGACTAACCGATCTGAGGCTTTATGCTCCGCCCCGTATGCAACGGCCATTGTTCTGACGAGCTGGAAGCCCAAGAGGCTTGTCATCTCTTCTGATGACTTCGGTCAGAATCTGAAAGAAATTTTTTTTATTTGTTTCTTCGTTAGTTTGTAGTCTCAGCAGATTTCTGAATTTTGTAGTCTTGTTAGTAAGCAAGGCTAAGAGGCCGCAAGATGTTCGACGAACTAACAGAAACAAAAATAAATATCGTGCTGTTTCTATTTTCTCTTTTTGATTTTTATTTTCTCATTATCTACTTCTGTTCGTTATCATCACATTGATGAAGAAGACGAACGAAAAATTCAGATTTGAGTGATCAACCATTCCTCTCGTCTTAACAGCCGATCAGACAGCGTTTTCTTTCCTGTTTTTAACCAAACTTTTCGATTGACTTATTTTCCGTTTTCCTGCTTTCCTCCTGAATCTGTCGAAAACAGAAAAAGATTTTAGAAAAAAATGAAATATACTTTTGAAAGAAAAAATTCGAATCTCAATACATTTTCATTCGGCTCATCTTCACAGAAAGTTAGCGGTCGTGCATATCAATAAGATGAATAGCCACGTGAATCTGTCCACGTGAAACTCTATATGCTCTCTTTTCATTTCTAATATGCAGAATGCGGAGATCGGTTGTGTTTCGAACTCCTTTTTTTTATTTGTTTTTGCTCGCGAACGACATCAGAATACTAAATTTGGATAATATTCATATTAATGAACATACTCAATCATATTTCAATCTTTTTTTATTCTCTTCTTTCATATAGTTTTCTCTGAAATGCCCCATGTCCTTTCAAAGGCTATCAGATTACTAATGCTCATAAGCATTCTAACTGACCTCCCTTGTCCTTGTTTTCATTGCTTCGTCTCACTCTATACATGTTCCTCTCTCTTTCTGTGTGTGTGTGTATGTGTGTGCCTATATCCTGCTTTTTATTTTTTATTATTCTTTATTTTTATTTTATTTGTTACTTCTTAAATAATCCCTAAAGCTCAATTCTGAAGCTGTTCATGCCCATCGGCCCATAAAAGGCTTTCGATACGTTTCGTTTACTATCTCTATCTCCGTAGTCTTTTTTTCCTTCTCCTTCGTCTGGGTTTTCATTTTCTTTTTTTTTTTTTTCATTTTTTTATTCAATTTTACTCAAAAGATTCAACTTCATCGTTTTTCTCGTTTATCTTCTGAAAAAAAAATGGTTGTTTCAAACAATCAGTCCATTCATTTAATTATTTGAGGGTTGTCTTCTTTTTCTTTTTCTACTGCACGTCCTGTTCATTTCCTTCTTCGGGCAAACTTTTTTCAGAAGAAAATCTTTTTCCTTCTGCTTCATCCTTTTTTTTTGTTCTCGTCTTCTTTAAAACGTTATTCGTTTACTCAAACTACGTCATCGCATCATTTACCTCAATTTATTTTATTTCTTTTCATTACCTACCTCATTGCTTTCTTGCAATACATCACTCATCCTTCGTTTTTTTTTTGTTGTATATGACTCTCCCTCTCAGATGTATTCTTCAGCTTTTGACTTCATTCTTGCACCCCATAATCATTCACAATGTTCTGCAACAAGTCCCTTATCAACAAGTTTGTCGTTATTTTTGTCTTCAACGTCGTCTTCGTCATTCTTTATTTGTCTAAATATGGTTTTGCTCTATGTATACTTTTGATTTTATAGATAAAACGGCTGCTGGAGCTGATGGAGCCGAACGGCTCTGTAGCCGTCGGCAGTCGATTAATTCTCGATGGTCGTATGACATCAACATCTTCATCATCCTATGCCTCATCAGGAGCTGATGGGTCCGAAATTGGCTCAGAACCAACACTTAACTTGTTGGGAATGGCTTTAACTATAATTCCATTAATAACAATTGCTGGAAACATTCTTGTTATACTATCTGTCCTGCGTTTTCGAGCACTTCAGACAGCCATCAACTTCTTGATACTTGGCTTAGCAGTGGCTGACCTGCTTGTAGCAATATTCGTGATGCCATACGCCGTCTATGTACATGTGAGTTTAAATTTTCAGTTCTGTAACAATATCTTTGAGATAGTAAGCAAATGGCTAAATAAAACTTTTTTGAAACATACGCGTGACAGTAATTCGTTACAACTGCACGTCATGGAGCATTCACGTGGAACACTTACGTGTTACCACGTGTTTGACTAATTCATTTTGAAATGCTTAGCGAGTAAGGAACGGTTGCTCATTTCTATCATCTTCTTCTCTCCTCTCCCTCTCTCATTCTCTCCTCAAAAGTTTCAGAAAGAAATCAAATAATAGCTCGATCGAATTATTAAAACGAATCGAAAAACATAGAAAAACAACATTTCTTAAGTTATTTTCGGATTTTGCATTGAAAACGAAAAAGCAAAAGAAAGAAAGAAATGAAGAAGACGAAGACGTCGTCAACGAGTACGAAGGCGTAGACGAAGACGACGAAGAAGAAGAAAAAAAAAGTGAAATTCATTAGTTCAAATAAACAGATGACTTGTTCTTATGTGATTCATATGAGATTTGAGAATGAAAAGAAGACGTAGAATGTTTGAATTTTCTATAAATTTTATACTAAAGAATGATCATGTTCGTAGTCTTCATCTTCTCCAGAAGTTGTATGAATCAGAGAGAAAGCATTTTAAAGCTGTTTCAATTCTTAATTATGTACAAGTTTGATGAAAAATCTTTGGAAGTTTTTGAAACAACAAAAATCGTCAAAGTTTTATTGTAAAACTGCCATATATAGCATCTACAAACATATACATGCATATATATGCTATATATACATATACCATATAGTTAATACGCATTAGATATGCATTACCTCTAACATGTACTCTAACTGTCATTGTGCATACTCACACACACACACACACATCCTGACTTTTAAGAGTTAATGAGGAAGTTTTTTTTTGTTTATTCTGTTTTTCAAACAAAGTAAATTATAGTTTGTTGGCTCTAGAAGAAGCTTCTTCTATCCCTAAAAGGAACTAATTTGATTTATCTCATTTCAAATGAGTTTCTATCTGGGATTACAGCTTGCTGTATACCTTTGAGATAGATGGAGACAAAGAGAGACCATTTGTTTTACGTCAAACACTCGTCTCTGTCTCTTCTTCTTTCCATCTCTCCTCTTTCTCCTGCTGCCAAGGAAGTGTTGTTGTGTATTTTCATAAAAGTTGAATGCATAACCTTTCTACGCCTCATCAGACCAAGTTTGAGAATCAGGAGCACATGGCTTTGTTGCCGATCACTTTTACCTTACAGCTCTCGCACCTCATAATACTCTCTCTTCAATCATATTTTCGAAAAGAGAGATTGAGGGAGAGGGAGAGAGAGCAAATGAAAGAAAGATCACTTCCAAAGATCTAGTTGTTCAGCAAAAGTCTCGTGTAGGTAAAATCAAACGTTACAATTTTTGAATTTTCTTGTTGGACTTCATTGGCATCGGTTGAATGAGCGCCATGATTTCTGGCTCTCTTCTCTTTTAAATTTATACACACACATTTCGTATACTAAAAAGATTTCCATAAGCGGAAAAAAAGGATATTTATGAGAACTAAGAGGGAAGTCAACGATATGTCAGATGGGGAGAGGGGGAAGATGCTTTTGGATTGAAAAAAAAAAACTGTCAGTTGCCAGAAAAAATTGAGATGTCTTTACGTCTTTCTTTTCATTTCATATGCTCACTACTACGTCTACTCTTTAAATCTTTTCTTCCTCATCAAAAGAGATTTCGTAGTTGAGAAAACTAAAGACGAACTCGTAGTCCGTTTCACTTTCAGTGCATGTTTCATCATCATCCACACACACACACACAATGCTCTGATTGTCTGAAATTTTATTAGAATTTTAACTGAATATTCACCGAAATTGGTTAAAAACGTGGTCAGATCAGCTGAGAATTATGCAATTGTCGCATATAAAGAGAAATTAGAAGGAAACGTTTAGAAAACATTGAGCTTTTTCTTTAATTTCTGATTTCATTACAAACCGAAAACAGCCTGAACTTTGAAATTTGATTGACTTTCACTCATCTGATGGAAGAAGGCTTGCCACTGCCTTCATCGTATGTGTCAACTGTGACGTGTTAGAGAGGAACAAAAAAAGAGGGAAAAAGAAGAGAGAAAATGGGAGGGATGGGTGGATTAAAAAAAAATATTTGACAACTTCATTCCTTCGAACGGCAACTTTTCCATTCATGACAAGGATTTTACCGGACGATCAGAAAATATTTTGCTTCCTCCCCCCCCCACCCTCCTTCATTTTTTGTTTTGTTTGAAAAAAAAATAAAAAAAGTTCAAATCTCAGAAAAAATGTCGCCGGCAGCTTCAAAGAGATTGGTGAAGAATAAAAAAAATGGAAAACGGGAAGAAGGCTAGAGTGCATTGTGTGTTTCTTAAAGATTGCAGTTCCCCCCTTCTGCAAAAATACTTTGAAACATCAAAGTATTTAAAATAAATTGAATCTCCAAAAATGGTCTTCGACATGAAAAGTAAAAAAAACCTTTTTTCTCCTTCTTTTACGAAAAGAAGAGAGTTCAAATGGTTCTACTTTTGAAGTCATCGAACGTTCTGAGAAATGGTGGGAGGGGGGAAAGGTAGGATGAGGGGGTAGACATTAGAATATTACCTGATGTGGAAAGAGAGAGAAAGAGTATCGTTAGCTTTAATTTGTGAAAGGACATATGAGATCACTTTTCGTTGTCGAAAATTGGAAATCTGTTACACTACGAGCACCATAATCAAGTTTCATCTATCTTCCTTCAAGCCAATGCTCTCTACAAGTATTTTTAAAACAATTATTCTGTTTGGAACGTAATTTCTGGACTAATTAAACCCATATGGTCATCAGCACCCCTCTGCTTCAAAAGCTTTTTTTTAGAAACGGAACGAATTCCTCTTTGTGTTTTCATATAATTAAAAATGTGACAAAGATAGAGATAGATATAGGCACTCATTTATTTTTTTATTCATTTTCAGGTTTATCGTGGAATGTGGTATTTGGGAAATTTGATGTGTAACATCTATATGGCTTGTGATGTTGCCTGTAGTACAGCTTCCATTCTTCTACTGGCTGTTATCAGTTTTGATAGGTAAGAGAGAAGATTCTCAAATTGATGTACGGATGAGTGAATGAAGGAAAGAAAGAAAAGTGTCTTTCTTCTTCTAAGTATTTTCCGAGTTTACTAACTTCAACCATAAGCTCTCCAGAATTCTCATATTCCGACATATTCAATAGAAACCCTCAGACAAATACTTGAAACGAAGATTCATTTAAAAGAAGATAAGAAAAGCAAAAAGAGTAAAAACGCTTTGCATTAAGCCATAAAAAGGGAAAAGTTTAAAATAAATTTCATTTTACAAATATATGTTTGGAGAAGAAGATGATTGAATGCGATTAAACTCTCTTTTCCAGGTATCGAGCAGTTAGCCGTCCGATTCAGTACTCAAGGCAATCACAAAACATTCGTCGAGTCTTTGCCATGATCTGTGGAATTTGGATTATATCACTGGCTCTAGCCAGTCCAATAGTATTCGGTAAGTGTAAACGGCTATCTAGATATCCATATCCAGATAACATGATACAAACACTTAACCTTCTACGACTACGAAGCGCTTTTCGTGCATTTGGTCTAAAAAAAGAAAAAAAACTTCCAGTTGATTTGTGTGAAGAGAAAGTTCGTTGAAACAGGAGAAATAGTCTCAAGGGAATCATCGTTAGAAGAAACTAATCGTTTAGCAATTCCGTTAGATTCACCAAATTTTAAATTATCCACAAAGAGCAGTATGTCGTTGATGTGATCTTTCCAAGGATGGAACGCGAAAAACGATTAAAATAATCTAATTTTCAACATTTTCTTTCGTTGCCTTTTTGATGAAAAAGTTGAGGAAAAGAAACAAAAAGAAAAAAAAAAGTTGAAGTCAGGGGTCTAGCACTATCATGTCAAATTCACTTAAAGCTTCTGAGAAGACGTTTATCTTATTCATTTTGCAGGAGTGAATGTTCGACCGATGGATGCAAGTAAAACGGAATGTCGTTTATACAATGCCGAATTCTCAATCGGATCTTCCATTATCTCTTTTATAATTCCATGTATTCTGGTATTATTTGTGTATATAAGAATCATAGTGGCTTTGAAAAAACGTGAAAAAGCAGCTCGTCTGAGACGACAGAAAAACTTAGGAATAAGCTCAGCGTAATGATTCATCAATAATGCATGCATTCATATGTTTATATTCAGATCTTCTGGTCTTCAGAATAGTAATGATGATGGTGATGAAGCTGGCCGAATAGTTGCTGGTCCAGGTATGCCAAGCTTACAACGATTTTTCAATCATTCATTTGATGAGCGAGTGCGCGAGTGAGTGTTTCTAGAATTACAAACCCGTTGAAGTGACTAATTACAAACAAAACAAAAAAGTTTTTCTTACTTGCCGTTCATTACCTAAAACGATTTGATATGGTTGTTCACTACCGAGATTTGCGATTGTTCTGGTTTTTTGAGCACTTCAACTACGATTGAATCCATGTTTTATCCCTCATATCATACTCACAACTAACCTTCTATTTACCCGAGTGCTGTGTGCCTTTACCTCTACCCGCTGATTGATGTTCATGTTCTCAGATGTTTTCCTGAATTTTTTATGAAAAAAAAATGTTCAGAGAATTGAAGAGAATTCATATTTTCCTTCTTGTTAACAGTCTTAACAGTTGTTCTGTGTGTCTTCACCCAACTATCACCTTGTCTTTCCACTCTTCTTGAAAAGAAGAGTACGCTTCTGCTTTATATGTATCGACAGGGAAACATCTGATAACATTTGGAATCATCGTAATCAAAAACAATATATGCTTTCTGCTAAGATTATTGTCTTCTGAGTGCTATATCTGTATAATCCGTTGTTTACTACATACCCTAATACGTATAATAACCCTAAAATATATATTTATCTTACCTGAAGTAGTGGCTTGGGAGTTTCAGTGGTCAACGTGATGATGATGGCGCTGCCGTCAATGTCGCGCCATATGCGACGCTTTGAACGACATCGTCAAGCTATCGAAGCAGCAGGTGATGACGACGACGACGTCGTTGCCGTCGAAACAGAAGAGCCGCCGGCTGCGGCTTTGCTCCGTCGAGTTCTGAGACCGGGCTTAGCTCCGGCCAGTAGAAGCCTCTCGTTTGCCAGTACGTGTCTGTCTTCTATCGTCCTCAGCCCAGCCGTCCCGCATCGTGTTCTGCTTTGTCTCAGAAATCACAATGCTCACACACTTAATTATTCGTTTTTTGTTAACACACAACCTTTTTATTTCTTAGTTATTTTGTTACCTTTTTTTTGCATCACATCACACAAAGCTCCCTGAGGGCATTCTCATTTTGGTAGACAAAAAAAAGGACAAACTCACCCAAAACATGTTAGCAAAATGCATTTGTGTCGTAAATTTATTTACCAAATACTCACAACAGCATCTCTTGTATAGTCTCTAATGGATAGTTTTCGGTTATGTAAATCATACTTGGTATCATAATTCAATCACACCATCACCGAAGTCTTGCACTTCGCAACACGACGCACATTCATTTTCAGTCAAGTACACTAAAAACACATTTTCTTCTTTTTCAACATTTCTCTTGGCCAAACAGTAGATATGAGAAATAACACTAAAAAAATATATATCTCTTTCTCTGATAGAAACCTTCAGAGACAGTATCATGCTCTTGGCGAAAAAACAAATTCGCAAAACCTGTGTGTTGGGACGCATGTGGTGGGCCGGACGACGGATTGCCGCCGTGCCTCCGCATGTTTTCTTTGGCCTTTTTTCCGTTTGTGGATGTTGAAAAAAAAAAACTTTTCTATCTTGAACACTGAAAAAGTGAAAAGAAAAAGAAGAAAAACAGTTTCACTTTTAGCTTGGCTTAAGAAATGTTTGTTTGAATGGCATGAAGTTAACCCTTACTAGCATGTAGCATGTGAACGGATAGTTGGAATGTGTACGAAAAATAAGAAAAAAATGCTCGTTTTCACTTTTTTTCTTCCAAACAAACTGTTATGCAAAATAGAGAACAAATGCGTTTCTTGGAAAACGCTAAGATGAAGTGTCTTTCTTATAAATAATTAAAATGAAAAGTTGGGGGTGAGAGAGCAATGAACTGATTAGCTGAAAAGGATATTTCTCTATTTGAACGCAAAATGGTTTTTTTCGAATCCTCGGCGTTCCAGGAATACTTTGACGATCAACTGGAATATTTAAATGTATTGAAGACACGAATGTTCCATTCTTTTTTCAGTGAGAAAGATGAGAAAAAAAGCTTTATTTTAGGAAATTTCTCTAACCTTAACCATTCGATTGTAACGATCATTCCGCTCTATTGCTTGTGAATGACCGGAAGGAAAGCGATAGTCGCGAGAAAAGTTTTTGCAAACAATTTGACATTTGAAAAGCTTTTTGAGGGAGAGAAAAGATGAAAAATTTTTATTTTTGCATAAAATTTTCTTGTTTTGCCATCTGTTCTGATTTCATTCTAATCAGAGAGAATGTAATGCAAGGAACGAGGGAGTGGGAGTGAGGAAGAAGAAAGTAAGCAAGTGAAGCAGCTAAATGGGGATGGCTTCAGCTTCACCTGTATGAAACTAATAGAAATCACAAATATTATGTTATATTAGTAATATATATCTTTCTAAGCACATTATAGGCATGTATTAACACATTTTAAAAAGAACTAAGTTATATGTGAAATTAGAACGAAACGTTGCTCATTTCAATTTGTCAAAGACATCATCACTCATCTCAACCTTCGATGAGTCTTCTCAAAAAAATAAAATTAAAATGAGCAAAGTGTAATGCAAGAAATGAAATAGTTTGTTATGAAAAGAATGTCTAATCAAACGACTGATAGATAGTTTGAATTTAGTAAACGCACGGCCTTAATAAATTATAATTTCTAATTATATAAATAATATAAATAACTTTAAATCTATTTCAGAAGAACGCGATTTCGGTGGATCATCTACACCTCGTAGTAGTGTAGATGAATCATTATCTGAGAATGTTAACGTTATCAGTAATGATTTTCTATCTGAAGGATTCACAAATGCATCTCGGTTAATCAGAAGTTTCAGATTTTGATTTACTCATTTGCATGTTTTCAGTCGTTCTTCGGTTGGAGAAGAGGAATCACAACCAACATCTTCGCAAAACTCATCAGCTGAAAGTGCAACAAAGAAGTCTCGCAAGTTCAAGTATGTTTCAATTCTATCATAACTCAAACCAAATAGAAAGCATAACTAATCTCTAGCTCCAACAAACAAAAACAAACTGAAGTACTAATCCCTACAGCATGAGAGCATTTGACGTCTGATGATGTTAACATCTCATGCTCATTGCATGTAATACTAACTCTAATAACTTTATGTTTTTGTTACTTTTCGACTAATCCACGCATGACCCACCTCTTTCGTATGTGTCTTTTGCTAATTTTCATTCTTGAAATTATATTGAAAATCAAAAACAATGTATAGAAGCCTGACCAGGAATTATTCAAACAGGCATCGATCGAAGACGCTAGACATTGCTGCGACCAGCCGATCTGCTTCATTGTAAGTTTTTGAATATTCTCTTTTGTTTGAGAGTAAAAATAAAATATGAAGATTTAGTTCTTTGAACACTCTGCGAGGTGGAAGTGAAGCTATTTTACCTTCAATCATACGCTCAATTTCTCGTCGAAGTCCTCGTCTCTTCCGATCTCAACATCATCATGAGGAAAATGTAAATCATAGATCTTCCATAGGGATATGGATTTTTAAAAATGAAATGTTATTTTTTGAATATTTTCAGATAGTTATATCTAATTCTGATTTGAAAGATCCACTGGATGCAGCTTCAATTCGTGCAGATGAAGCACGTAGAACATCCCAAACTGAAACGGAAACAATTTCTGCCTCAAGGACGGATGTTATGCCAACAGCGAATTTCAGTCGAAGCACTACAGTCAACAGTAATTTCCAATGTTGTTTGAGTTAATAATCAAAATGAATTGAAGGTGAACTTCTTGGATCGCCTGAAGCTAGCTCAATGACAATATTCGAGAATCCAGCAAACAAAATATTCGATCAGTCGCAAGAGGAAACAAAGCTGACCGACGAAACGTCTGCTAAGGAAGATTCACAGGTAATTGATTCTCTTGAGTTATGAGATTATAGAACCACTTATTTCAGCCAACAGTCACATTTTCTATGACTGTTCGGAACATGACAGAATCTCCGAGCAAAGATCAGAAGTTGAAAGGTTGTGGTTACTCGATGGAGAATGTTGAGACCAATCCTTTGATGACTACTGAGCCAGCATTAGCTGTCAAAATATTAACTCGCGGATCTGTTTCACGTGAGCTATCGTCGAATGCTCATTCAGTTACCAGCATAAATTATGCAGACGACCCTGTATTCATGCGGATGGATTCTGCTGGCTCTTCACTAGGACGATTAGAACGTAAAGAAAGCTGGAAGTCTAACCAATCATCATCGACTCAAGCTGCAGCTGCACCTCCAGTAGTATCAAACAATAAGCCAAAACCGAAGAACGGCTTAGCTGTGAAGCTTGTCAAGAAAACTTTACGACATGAGCAGAGCCTAAAACGAAAGGTTCTTAAGACTCTTAGACAAGCTGATAATTTGCTTTTTTCAGGTCTCCAAAGCGCATCGCAAAGAGAAAAGAGCAACGAAAACTTTAGGAGTTGTTGTTGGAGTCTTCTTAGTCTGTTGGGTTCCATTTTTTGTTATCAACATCTTGAACGCTGTCTGTATCTTGTTTAATAAGGAATTCTGTCAGGTTTGCAGAAAGCGAGCTGAATCTTTTAGTATAGCGTACATCTAATTATAGGTTAGCTTCGATGTCTTCTTCTATTGTACATGGATTGGATATATGAATTCATTTATGAATCCCATCATTTATACAATTTTTAACACGGAGTTTCGTCGTGCTTTCAAATCGCTCATATTTGGACGAGAAAATGGTCGAAGTATAGTGCTTAAAAAGCAGATACACGTCTAGAATCACACTCTCATCAGGTTCACGATGATGGTTGAAGACATATATGGAACGCTGCTTGTATGGAGAAAAAGATCATGATTGCCGTTCAGAATGATATGCCGATTACGTCAGCTGCTCACACAACAGTTCTAGTCAAAAAGAATTTCACTTTCTCTCTTTCCTTTCAGTTTTTTTTGCTTTCTCGAAGAAAAATAATTTTAATTTTTGGGTTTGGAAATGTTGAAGGAAATCTTCAGTTTGTCTAGTTCTTTCGCATTTCTTCCAAAAATGATGCAAAATTTACAAAACATCTCTGAAAACAGCAGGCTTCTATTCGAACTCGTTTCGTTTGAGAGTCTCGAGGCTTTCAATTTTTCGTTTTGGAAACAAAAAAAGGAAAATTGAAACACAAACTCACATACGTCATCATCAAAGAAGTTTTAACAAAGTTTAAAGTTCACAACATGTTTAAAGAAATTTATTAATTTGAAATTCGGGTCATGAGCATGATGGTCATGTTCAATTAAGACGAACACGGGTTTCTCTTAGCTCGTTTGTCTGAGTTTAGCCACTTTTTATTCTTTTCTCAATCTCTTTCAAATGTATCTCATTTGTTCGCTTTTCATAATTACTTGCCATTTGCTGTTTATTATTCCTTTACAAAGCTTTTTTATACAAAATAAAGTTTTTTTTCGGATTTTTCTGAGATGAGAGAAGTATGATGCCATATGCTTCATGCACAACCGCTCTGACCGATGTCGCAGAAAAAAAATGAAAACTTTCAATTTTTCATTTTCAATCATAATTTCACTTTTCGGTCGTTCCTGAAGATCCGAAGCTTTCGTTTCATATGTTTTTCACGCTAGCATAGCAAAGAGCATTTCAGAACACTCTTCAACAGTAACAGATATTCACTGCTGTGAGAGATAACAACTCAGCTGTATGTTTTGTCTTGGAATGAGTGTATACGTGGTGATTAAGCTCAAAAATTGTTTTATTATTCTCTGAAAAAAAATGAGTAAATTGAGGGGTTTGAAAGAAACAGGAGTAGTGCTACGAAAGCTTATTCAGAGCGTCTTTTTCTGAACTGAGTCATGGATCTCTATATATTCTCAATGGGTAGTTTATCCATTCTAGGTTTTTTGTCTTTAATGTTATCTTTGTATCTTATTATATTCGTACCAGCAAAATTAGCTTTTCAAACACGATTCGCAATATTCGGACATTCCGTAGTGTTTGTTTAATGAAGTACGATTTGTTGAAGTTCACTATTCATTCCTTCAGATCATGCACCGGGCAGATATACTTGACACTTGGTACAGTTCCAACCATATTATTTCCATGCCCTGTTGCTTATCCAGGTGGTTTTCTCACGCAACTGGGAGTAAGAACAGTTGATCAAACATGGAGTCAATGCGTATTATTAATGAGTAAAACATAGTATCGGTAGTTAACTGACTTTTGCTTTTGAACTATTCAAGGTACTGGATGGTTCTTGGCATATCTCTCGATCATTAGAGTATTTGCTGTGTCAGTTAACTTCAGTGAAAGAAAAAAGTGTATCATAATCAAAGTTCACTATTGCTTCTTAGCTTATCAAGCTATCTCCTTCTATTATATTTTTTCAAACATCCCATCTGATCCAAGGGAGAGTCTTCTGACATGTATAAAGGTATCGAATATCTGAACCTTCTTTGCTCAACTTCATTACCTACTCTCAGAAGTATCATTTTGATCCACCTCCGAAATGGATTTTAGAAATAATGCTATTCTTGACATTCGAGCAAGACATATTTTCTTTTTTATTCCTATTCCATAGTGTTGTTACGTCCATATCACTGGGGTCTATCGCTGTCGTCTGTGGAATTCTTCTTGTTCGCAGCTTAAACAATCAGGCAAAAGCTACGGCATCTGCGAGATTCTCGAAAAATCAAAGGAGTTTAACTATAGCGGTCATTTCATCTGTTTGTACTGCAATAAAATAGAATAATTATATCTTGTTTTCAGATACTCAGCCAAGTGTTCGGATTATGTGTTCCAGCAACTTTCATCATCGTTTCCTTATTTCTTTCATTTCCATGGCCTCGTAAGTTATATTCATATAGCTTCTGAAAACTATTTGTTTTTTGTTTTGTCACCGTTGTTTTTCATCTGTTTGGCTATATATCCTATCATTGGGTGTGCGTTGATCTTACTCGCGACACCAGCATACAAAAATGAAATTATGCGGTTATGCAATGCCTGTGAGTGCACATATGTGCTTCGGTTTTTGTATTTAGTTCTATAGCTGTTCTTCGATTGTTTTCTCAGTATTCATACAAAGAGAATTTGTCTAACACCGTTCGGACAGTTACATGACAATGTTCTTGGAATGTTCCTTGGATTATTGTCGCAGATGACATAATGGTTCTCATCAAGCGGAATATCACACGAATAGATGTTTGGATTTAACATTTTTCGAAATACATCTGTCTTTTTAGGGTTATGGGTTCTTGTCCAAACTGATATTTCTTTAATTTGTATTTTGTTGTTGAGCTTCATGCTTCAACTCTGCACGATGCCGTTTACATTGATTCAAAGGCCGAGGCCGATGTGACAAGCTATGACACATTCCTTGCTCTTGGATATCTATTTACTCTTACTGGAAAACCATGAAGCTACATAAATTCTCACTTCTAAAGTCTTCATATGTGTATTAATATACTGTCGTGGCAATTACAGTATGTTATCACTGCCACGATTGTTTGTCTTAGTCATGTTGTCGTAGTACAACGTTGCTTCTTCTCAAATAAGGAGTTCTTCATAAATGTATGCAATTCTTGATTTAAAAGGTTTATTATATTAAACAGTTTCATAACGCAATGTATTTGAGAGTCTATTAGGTAGTAATAAAAAAATGAAAGCTCCTCCATGAGGCTAGCGCGTACTCCACAGTAGTATAGCGAGGTTCTCCAGAACAATCTTCAATTGCTCGAAGTTGTAGAGAACAAGTCGAGAAATGAATTTCTCATTTCGTTCAGCTGATCTTTAACCTGAAAATACGTTTGATATTCTACTTCAACGCAAGCAACATACATCTCGATTGAAAATCAGATAAACTAAGGTGTTTGTACAGAAGTGAAATAGTCCGAGGAAAGTGACTACTGCTTGTGTGATGTTGTTCAGTTCACCTAACAATGAAAACCACATCCAAGTCATAGAGGAAACAAAAAACATCAAAGCACATTGTAAGCCCAATCTAAATGTGATTTGAACTACAGATGGGCAAACCCTCTTACCGTATCTCTTTCTTCATATTTGAGTTACGAGTTTTGCTTCGGACTTTGCACACGTAGCATAGAAGCTGAAAAAAGGAGATTGAGCTCAGATGAGTATCTGGACATACTATTGTGTATGATATCGTGCAGATAACTGTGAATGTTCCGTTTACAGTATTGAATATATACAGTTGTGAATAATTTGTTGAATTTTTGTGTTCAAACGAGTAGCCGAACATGGCTGGATAGTATTTGACTCTTGAGTTTAAATGAATGGCCTATGGCTGAACAGTATAAAAGTTACCGACAACAAGAAATGATTGACTCCGATAGTAGAGTTGCAACGAAAGAGAAAACCGTCAGGACGATAAGACCGATCCAGATGAAACGATGAGTGAACAAGATGACTTGGGGAAAAACAACAGCAAACAATCTGAAAAAATGAGTTTGATCAATCAACGAAAGAAATGAAACCTGTGCACGGCTACAAATACTTGAGCAGACACACCAGTATACCAGAAGAGAACACTGAGAAATGAGAACGTTTCTTCTTTCAATAACCATTCCTATAATATTTGAAGAAGACTCTACGTTGACAAATGAGTTTCAAACTCCTAGATACATGCTGGGCTCCACGAAAACGGCATGTAAGAATGTTGCCGCAATATCAAAGAGTATGTTATACCCAATGATGATATATACAGAATTTTCTCTTGTAGTGATTAGTCTACCTCTTAGAAGACACGAAAAACATAAAATGTTGAGAACTAGCAAGATCCATGATGCAACATTCAAAACAATAGGGAAAACGACTTTATACAGATAAGCTGCCATTTGATTTGACGCTACTTCATCCTCCTTGAATTTCTATGTATTGTCGTGGGATAAATATCAAACAACACTCTATCTTAGAGGTATGTTTTTCAACAGTACGTGCGAGTTTCACTCAAAATATAAGAAACTTTGTGAAGGATCAAACAACTGTTCAACCATTTTGCATGTGACCTCCATCATCATGAATTGCTATGAAAGCATTTGTTTTAGATGTAACTAACAATGTACATATATTTATATGTTATAGTTTTTATATTGAAAACCGTACGTATGTATATGTGTGAGAAAAGAAATAGAAAATCCGCTCAGAATCCAGAAAAGAGCAAAAAGACTTTACTTCCTGTTCGGCTTTTGTTAACTTCTATTTCTTTTACAGCATCAGGTTTTCACACTTATGTAGGAAAGTATTGAGTTGCTTATTATCTTAGCCTGCTTCCGAACCTTAATAGGCAATTGAATTAGAAAACGAAAGGATGAGTGTCTAACTTCCTTGTTCAACGTTAAGTAAACGATTGAGTTGCCACCAAAGCTGATGTTGACAACTATAGTCACAAATATTCTTATTTCAGTAGCGTCTTTCGGCAGAATCGTGAAGGTTATCCAGGTGAAATTGAAGAGTAAAAACATCAAAGCGCATTGGGTGCACAATCTGGGTAAGGGTTAGGTCATTGAGCTCAAGAATGATGCTTACCGTATTTCGTTTGACATTTCTGAGTATTTTGAACTTTTCTTCATTTGAAAGATATGAAAGAAGAGCTGAAACAAGACTTTACGTTGAAGAGAAGGTGTTAGACGTCTAAACTGTTATATATGATATGAGACATAGAATGCTCGTAGAAATGTTTAAGGGAACATTGACATACAGCATAGAAATATTGGTAGCATTAGATGGAAAATAGATGTAACCATACTGCAATCGATCATGGGCTAATCTCAATAAGAAGATATAATGTGTTAA